TATTGCTGCCGCTGCTGCTTCATACTGCTACTGCTGCCGTGCTGCTGCTGCTTCTTTTACTTTGACCCCTCTCTTCACTTCGCATCCTTTTACTGAAACACTAAACAGCTACAACAATATTCTACTGCTGTGGCTTTGATACAGGATTATTGCTGTTATTATCTACGGATGCTGCAACTGCTGCTGCTGCTTCATACTGCTACTGCTGCTACTGCTGCTACTGCTTGCTGCTTCATACTGCTACTGCTGCTGCTGCTTCATTTACTTTGCCATCTCTCTTCACTTGCATCTCTTTTACTGAAACACTGAACAGCTACAACAACATTCTACTGCTGTGGCTTTGATACAGGATTATTGCTGTTATTATCTACAGATGCTGCAGCTGCTGCTACCCACTCTCTCAGAAGCTTATCCTGCTTCTAATGGACGCAGCCCGGCTGAGTATGCCGCGCTGCGCTGGACTAGCACCTATGCTCCCAGGGTCGCTTCGGCGGTCATGCTTCATCTCTCTACTTAATCTTCTGATTCTATCAGATCCAGCTGGCCGAGTAGCTGCGCTGAGCCGTCAATCGGACTCCTAATCAAACGCATCCATACCTGTATTCTTCACTCTTCTGATCGCAGGCTCCCCATCATGCTGCCCATCCTGCAGGGCACTGAACTCCGGCTCATCTTCCAAGTACACGTCTGCCCTCCTCGCAGCATCTTCCTGCTCTCCTTCTATGGCTTCTCTGCATAAGCGTCTCACCATTGCACACCCAACCTTCATGCGGTCCGAGACACGGCTTTCCCGACCATCCTACTGTCCTGATTATCTACTCTCCAACCCAAGATTCTAAGCGTAAGGGCGCCTGCAAACATCAATGGCCCTCTTCGATATGTCTCTGCCCCTACAGGTCTCCGCTTCTACACGGACGCTGCCCCTTCCGTGGGTTTTGGGGGTTCTTCCAGGACCATTGGTTTGCCTGGCCGTGGCCGCTACTTTCCACCGGAGCATCTCTTCTGCCCTACACGAAATATTCCCAGTGGTCGTGGCTGCGCGCTGTGGAATCACACGTGGCAGAAAAAGAGGATCTCTGTCATGTGTGATAATCTCGATGTAGTGGAAGCATTACACAAAGGTCGCTCTTTTTCACCCAACATAATGTCCCCTGACCATTTCAACCTTCATTTCAAACATTCAAAAATCAAAGGAGCCTGCAATATAGTGTCAGCTCGCTCGGACACATCTCTCTGCCCCTACAAATCCATGATGCGTAACACTCGCCTCCGCTGCAAAAAGGAGAGTTTAACGGACCTCTATTTCTCACTCCAGACATTCTTCCCATGACAGCAACCTGGTTCAGAGCTCAACTAAGATCCCTACTGCTCCTCTGTAAATTGTCTCCCCAGCTCTACACAGCTCACTCCTTCAGGATAGGCGCTGCCACGCGCGCGGCCTCGCTGGGGCTCCCCCACACCTCTCTGCAACAGCTGGGGCGCTGTTCCTCTTCGGCCTTCTCCGCCTACATCAGGCCAGACGCGTCCGCCATCCTGGCTGCACAACGGCAACTGGCTTCTTCGTAAGCTCCCAGCAAAGCAATACAAAGCAAAGTAAGTGATCCAATAAAGATTCTGGTGGCGGCACGCACTTTCTCAAAGATAACTCTGTTGCAGCGTCCGGTTGATCGTGATGCGAGCGCTCGCGTCCCAGCGCTCAAAGACAACTCTGCTACAGCGTCTGGTATCGATCGTGATGCGAGCGCTCACGTCCCAGGCAGCGTCCGGTTGATCGTGATGCGAGCGCTCACGTCCCAGCGCTTAAAGATAACTCTGCTGCAGCGTCTGGTATCGATCGTGATGCGAGCGCTCACGTCCCAGGCAGCGTCCGGTTGATCGTTTGCGAGCGCTCACGTCCCGGCGCTCAGAGATAACTCTGCTTCAGCGTCTGGTATCGATCGTGATGCAAGCGCTCACGTCCCAGGCAGCGTCCGGTTGATTGTGATGCGTGCGCTCACATCCCAGCGCTTAAAGTCAACTCTGTTTCAGCGTCTGGTATCGATCGTGATGCGAGCGCTCACGTCCCAGGCAGCGTCCTGTTGATCGTTTTCGAGCGCTCACGTTCCCGGCGCTTAAAGATAACTCTGCTTCAGCGTCTGGTATCGATCGTGATGCGAGCGCTCACGTCCCAGGCAGCGTCCGGTTGATCGTGATGCGAGCGCTCACGTCCCGGCGCTTAAAGATAACTCTTTGCAGCGTCTGGTATCGATCGTGATGCGAGCGCTCACGTCCCAGGCAGCGTCCGGTTGATCGTGAAGCGAGCGCTCACGTCCCGGCACGCAAAGATAACTCTGCGCCCGTTTTTGGGGATTATGCGCGCGACCAAGCGCCGCACTCATCAGCATCTCTCCCGGGCCTAGGGCGCCAAACATACTCAATCAATAAACTTCTAACTGCATTTTCCTCTTGGGTCTTTCCAAAGTGAAATGAAGCTCTTCGCGAAAGTTCACTGTGGTAGACCCGGCCACTGCTGCCAGATCTACAAGCCTGCTCATCCTCTACTCATTACACCAGCAAAACGCCCACATCCAATCCACCAATAACCACCAGGACAGCAAGTTAAAAGCCGGAGACGCCCACTTCCCGGCCTTCTGAAGTCTGCAAAGCCTCCGCCGCCCCACCTCCTCCTTCTCTCTTCAGAGCGTGCTCGCCTGCTGCCTCTGCCGTCACCAGTGCCTAGGCCCCGGGGGGGATTATGCGCGCGAGCAAGCGCCGCACTCATCAGCATCTCTCCCGGGCCTAGGGCGCCAAACATACTCAATCAATAAACTTCTAACTGCATTTTCCTCTTGGGTCTTTCCAAAGTGAAATAATATTGTCCCTCTCAGACTATGTGTTTTCTCCTGCTGTGTCTTCTCTCCACTCTTATCTCAAATTCCTCTGGCAAGGCCGAAGAAAACATGGACCCCAATCTACAACAAGCCTCACACTCTGCAGTCTCCAGCTCGGATCCCGCTCCCCCCGCCTCCCTCTACCTATCCATCTTTTCCTTCCCTCCCCTCCAACAATTTCCAAGTGGTAACTTTGTTTGTTACTTATGTGGCAATAAAAATGATTCTGATTCTGATAAGACACTTCCCCCACATTAGAATGAGTCTGGTGTGTGTGTGAATGGTTGGTGGTGGTGGGAGAGGCCGATGGCACAGACTGGTTGCCTCGCTTCTGTCAGTTTGCCCCATGGCAGCTGTGGCTACAGTTCCAGTTTATCACCACAGTGTTTGGAGTGAATGAACACTTGTGCAGCATCTATGAGTGAATAATATATTATTATTATTATTATTTGGCTCACACACACACACACACACACACACAGACACACACACACACATACAGAGGCCCAAACACTCTCTGACCCTACACCTCTCCCCCATCTCTCTCTTCCATGTGTATTTTATTATATTCTATGTTTCGAATTAATGTAACTTTTTTTTTGCTCTTTGATTGGATAATCTGCTGGAAAATTGTTCCCATAAATATTATAGACTTTATGTCCATTATATTTCATTTAGGATAACTCCACTATAGATGTCTGTTGATAAAAACATGTGCAAATGGCCTAATTTAAAATATTACATACTGCCCCTTTAAATCATCAGCCAACTACATAGAATTTAAAGTAGCTCTAAATGCAAGCACATACACATGTTTTCTTCTTCTGTCTTGTTCCGCTCTGCATGAAACCAAACCTATTTTTACACAACGGTTGTTTCCACAGGCAGAAGACGAGGTGACTTATGCAGGAGTGAATGTGGTGCCCTCTAGCGCCTCCTGCAGGTCCACCTCTGTAACAGCGAGAGAGGCGGTGCTCTACTCTGAAGTGAGGAGCCGACAGGACAGAAGCTAACGCTGGGGAACCTAACTCTTTTTGTTCATATATAGAAACAGAAAGCTGATCCAAGGTTTTTAGCGCCAGGGACTAGTGACATCACACACTTGCATTGTTTAAAGTTACGTACCCCAGCTTTAAACACAACTAAAGTAAATGCTTTGGTAATTGTGGCCATTAAGTTTTTATTTTCTTTGATGTAGTGAATCAAATGATGAAATAAACTGTTTATTTGATGCAAGGCTATGAATTGATTTTGTTGCAACACAAGAGGCAAGTTTATTTGTGTAGCACAGAACTCAACGTCCTGAACAAATCAAGAAAAACTGAAAAAAAATCACACAAGGCATTCAAAAACTGAGTTTTTGAACATTGGCTTTGATCATTATCATAGAAGACTGTCCCACATTTTTAGCTGCATGAATCTTTATGACAGTGGCTCAATTGGTAGAGCATTGGCCTTTGAGCCTGAAGGTCGTGGGTTCGAGCCCACCATGAGACCTACTTCATAACTCCCACTGTTGTCTGCTGTCGTCGTGTCCTTGGGCAAGACACTTAACCCCACTTTGCCTGGAGCTCCCACTGAAAGATCTCAGCTCCTGTGGACTCACCACCTGCAGGAGGATCAGTGAGGTGGTCTGTGTACTGGCTGCAGCTCTGACTGCCACCCCCCGACCCAGAAATGGATTAAGGGGAAGAAAATGGATGGATGAATCTTTATGTACTATGAGCAGAGCACGCCCCAAACTCAATACAATCAGACTTTTTGTATCACAATAAAATAGTTCAGAATAATAAGGACGCAAAAGCAAACAATTAAACCCTTTTTTTCGTGTTCTGTATAACACTGTGGGCCTTAAGTTACAAGTCAATCCTTTTACGATAAATACACGGATAGTAGAATATTGTGGCTTTACTTTTTTTCACCAGATATTAAGCCACATTTACACCAGCCCTACTCTACTCGACTTGACTCTGTGTTCGCCCAGTGATTGGCCAGAGAGCTGCTCGAATGGTCCTGGTGGATACTGGTTTGTTGTGGGAAAATTGCAAACATGAAATCCAAGACCCTGAAGCGTAATATGAATGCAACCAGTTAGAGTAGAGTAGAGTAGAGTAGAGTAGAGTAGAGGGTTTAGTTGCCTCTGCTCCTGAGGCAGTAGATCAACAGACACCCGCAGAGCAGCAGGAGGAGCACTCCCATCCGCAGCACAGAGAGCCAGACCAGGACCTTGATGTGGACTCTCAGATCCTCCTCCTCGATCTGCAAAACCGTCCCGTTCCCAAACAGGACCCGCCCACACGCCGCCACCGCACAGAAGTACGTCCCTGAGTCGGATCTGCGGACCGAGGGCTTTTCCAGATGGAAGGTGCAGCTCTGGGGGCCGGGTTTGGGGCTGGGGCTCTGGTCTGCGTCAAGGACCAGGCCCAGACCGTGAGCGTGTTTGAACCAGTAGACGCAAAGCTCGTCGGTGCAGGTCCCGCGGTGAATGGAGCAGTTCATGGTCACAGAGGAGCCCAGCGGGGTCCGGGCTACGGCAGGAGTCTGGGTGATGTGTGGAGGGATGGGGGCTGCAGGAGCTGGAAGAAGACAAGAAGAGGATTATTAACCCTCTGATGGTTTCCTCAACCATTTGGTGGATCACTTTGAGTTTTGAGTCTCGATCTACTTGATTTTAAGCCTTTTTACCATTAAGCTGCAACAAACTAGGGGGAAAAAAAACTATGAAAAATACAATTATTTTTGTTATTTCTGCTCTTGCATCTTAGAAAATACTCCCCAAAATGACATTGCTTTATTTAAAGTAGCATTATGTAATATTTGCATGTCAAGTCATCATTTAATGGCCCCAATATTTCAAAAGGCGTTATTAAATCATGCTCTTTTCGAATACATTTTTAACAGTAGTTCAGAGATATTTGAATATCAAAATTATTTTACGACCCGTAAAAGTTATTGTTTTCATTTTGATGTCCCACCAGTCAGGAAGTCCGTGACCCAGGTTGCCACAACTTCCCGCGGCTAGCTAAAATAACATGTGGTCGCAGAACTAAAAGAGAACTTGTTATGATTCTCAAATCATTAATGACAAAACAAAGACTAAAACGAGAAATAAAAAAAACATTAATTCAGTCAACATTACTACGGCTATCATGGCAATGTGAGAGACAGACAAACAACTGATAAAATAAATCCCTGTGTTTGCTGCTGGATTTGGTGCGCATCTGGCAACCTGAGTCAGGGAGAGTGGGAGAAGACTGCACAATATTGACTGTGACTGCAGTACCACTCTATCTGGCCCCAAACTCACAGCAGGCGTAGAGGAGACGGTGCATCTTGGTCTGAGCAGCGCCGTGAGCGAGTGTGATGACGCCGCCGCCAAAAGAGGACTATATACGACGTGTGAGCGGTTTCGGATTGTGACTGCAGTACCACTCTTGGCCAGATTTTTACATAATGCTCTTTTAAGGACTGAACATTAAAGGGTTAAATGTAGTATAGTCAATGTCAACTTTATTTGTATTTGTTCCTTGCCGAAGCAGGAGGGTCTAAGGACACTACACATTCAACCACATTTATGGACTTTATCAACATTTATGGACAACGACATTTGTGATTGAACTGTTTGATTCTCTGATCAGTGTTGGTGATTTGACAGTATTGTAAAATCCTCAGAGTAACTACTCGTGTGATTCAGGGCGGTACAAGAATACACTGAATTTTATGGAATTGAATTGCACATTTGCAATAACACCAGCTGCCAAAATAACAAAAGATACATGAAAAGAATGGTAATAATAAAACTGCATGAAATACACACAAATATATGCACAATGTAAAGCACTTAAAGGAAGCAGCAAAGGCCCAAAGGTTTTCCTGAGTTTTGAGACAAGACCTGGGCACGTTCAACCAAAGCTGGTTTTCTGAGACAGAGATAACAGCTCAGTAAGAGACCAGAGAGAGAGACCAGAGAGAGAGACCTGAGAGAGAGATCAGAGAGAAACCAGAGAGAGACCAGAGAAAGAGACCTGAGAGAGAGAGAGCAGAGAGAGACCAGACAGAAACTAGTGAGAGACCTGAGAGACACAAGAGAGAGAGAGAGAGACCAGAGACGGACCAGAGATTGACCAGAGAGAGACCAGAGAGAGACCAGCGAGAGAGACGGAGACTAGACCAACAAGAGCACACAGAGCTCTCTCAGAAAAACAGGTTCTAAGCCATTTAAGCATTTTCAAAGCTTCATCTTTTGTCTGTGTCAAAAGGTGTCGACAATACTTTTTTTTGGCTACCTATGTGTTTGTTATTATTGTATTTCCTTTGTTCAAACTGTTTGATTCTCTGATCGATTGCGGGCCATTTTATTGTTCCAGATTTTGTTTAGTCACCGTTTTTTTAAAGGCCTGTACCCATTAGTTCACAAACAGCCCACTTGAGTCTCCGAGGGTAGGAAAGAAATAAGTCAAAACATTTACCTTGAACCTTGAGAAATATTCCTTCTCCAAACTCCAGCACGTTGTTGTGGGAGCTCCCGCAGAAATACACGGCCTCGTCTTCTGGCTGAGCGTCAGAGATGTGCAGGTGGTTCAATCCCTCCTGTCTCTGCACGGCCAGTCGCGGGTGCTTCTCCAGCCACACCAGCATCGTCCGCGGCGTGTCGAACTTGTAAATAGTGGACAGTACCACAGGGTTCCCTCCCAGTCTCTGCTTGTACCAGGAGTAATGACTGGCCACTGTGGTGCTGTTGTAGAAGCAACGGAGGCACACACTGCCCCCGACAGAAGTAAACACCACCCCAGCGTCTTGGATCACGGAGTAATGGGCCAAAACTGCCATCTGGAAAACTGTAAAGGCACAGTTAAGCTTCAGGTCGATCTGGATTTGAAATATATGGCCCCAAACTCACAGCAGGCGTAGAGGAGACGGTGCATCTTGGTCTGAGCAGCGCCGTGAGCGAGTGTGATGACGCCGCCGCCAAAAGAGGACTATATACGACGTGTGAGCGGTTTCTAAAGGGGTCAAACGGAGCAAGTTTGAGCAAGAAATAAGCAAATGTAGAAGGCACATGTTAGACCACAAACTAGCACACGCTAAGTTGTGTAACCTCGTTCAAAGCCATTTGCAGTAAATTAAGCTGGAACTAACACTGATGTAGAACAGTACATTTACTAAAGAGAAATATGCTTTGGTGTCTTGGGTCACAACCACCCTCACTTTAGAGAGGGGTGAGAGGAGAGAGAGAGAGGAGGAAGTGAGAGAGTAGATAGTGAGAGAGGAATAAGTGAGAGAGGAGAGAGTGAGTGAGAAAAAGAGAGTGAGAGGAGGAAGTGATAGAGGAAGAAGTGAGAGAGAAGGGTGAGAGTTTGGAGAGGAGAGAACAGTCTGGAGAGGGGTACCAGGGAGAAGATAAGAAATTTAACAGATGTCTTTTCAATTACTTCATGGAGACTCCAAACCCTTTAAGTCTGAAACCTCTTCTGTTACAACAGACAATCTAACTCTGTATTTATCATGTTATTAAAATATGAATATAAAATAATCAGAATAATTCTCCGGCCATGTGTGGAGCGAATAGGAAAATATTGGTACTCCATTGACATTGTTTTGTGCTTGGTCTAAAATACACTATTCATAAAGAAAGACGACCCACTCACTTACTTTGCTCACTTTGTTCACACAGAGACCACAGCGGCATCAACAAACCCAGCGTCATTCACAGTGTCTGCACAAGAAACAGGTTCAGTTTTCATTTCCTCTCCTCACCACCGTCCTCTCGTCTGCCCTTTCAGAAGAAACAATGAATCATCAGGTGAAATATTTCAGTTACAGTGAAATAAGGTATTTTCAGAAAAAATCTCACTATATAAAGACCATGTAAGACCACACCTCCTGACTATTTAAGAGTCTGTCCAGGAGGGTTTTGGATCTATTTCGACGTCAGCACCATCGACAAGCCTGTTCTACTGCTCCTCTCTGGCTTTGGTTCGTACACGCCACACATTTCTCAATTATTTACAAAGAAAATTCTCGTTTGATTCGATCTTTTCTCACAGTTTGCGCAGCGAACGTGTTTGGTTTCAAGAAGGTGACGATAGCCCCAGGAGACAACATCACTTTGTCCAGTTCAAACTCTTCCAAAGTTGAAACTCAAGTGGACTGGTTCAGAGTGGAGAATGGAACTAAAGCTCGCTGCATCGTGTCAATGTATGGATATGAGGGTCGACCTTTATTTTGTTCTGGATTTAAAGACGGGAGGTTTGGAATGAACTCCAATACATTTGCTGTTTTTCTGACCATACACAAAGTAAATCCCTTTGATCTGGACTGTACTTCTGTGGATTCTTCATGAAGTCCAACATAGTCCTTGGAGAGACGACATACTTAGAAGTCAGAGGTAATGAGTTGTTTTATATGTACAGGGATCCATATACAATCCATCAATCAATGTATTTTTGCATCGTCCTAATAGTAGACAGTAGTTTTCTCAAAGGACTTTACAAAACCGCTGAATTTGCCAACACAGATCAGATAATCAGACGGTTCAAACACAAGAAATGCAAAGATAGAAAACACTTAGATCCATTGGCCCATAAGTTGCATAGACCAATGTCCATAAATGTTGATAAATGTCCATAAATGTGGTCGAATGTTGAGTGTCCTGGATCATCACCAAATGTGCTTTATGTTGTCGGAACTATCCTATTTCTACACAGCCACAATCACGTTAGGCATAAATCATCAACATTAAAGTCACACAGGGCATTAAAAACCAACAATAGGATCACATTTTATACAAAGTTACGTTTGTCTGTTTGCTGAAGTTTGTTTGTCAAAGACGCTCTGGTCCCATAAACTTTGCGCAAGGCTCAGAAGTTACGAACGCAAACCTGAAGATTTTTTGTTTACGGAAAGAAAACAACAGAGAATTAGAAAACTGTGAAGTGAAAGTAAAACTACTCACAATTGAGTTTTTGTACTTACGTTTTTTTTACATTGCAGCAACAAATAACAAATAACAAATATAAAAACGGATAAAACCGAACATGGGGTCAGTTGTCATTTACACATATTTCCCACTGACTAACCCAAACCCATACATTATTTTGCTGAATGCAATTAATCTAAATCACTAAACAGCATCTTAAAAGATAAGGAGACACCAGAAAGGTCAGAAGTCAGGAAGGTGTGTTAGAAAGTCAGAAACGTGGTTAGGTTACACAAATGCAGCCTCGCGGAAATTCAATTTGGAAGACGTCAGCAAAGCCACCCCTTCCAGGCCGGCCTCGCAGCCCCAGCCTATCGCACAGCAAACGCCCATTTCCAACCAACCTACGCCGGCCAGGCCAGCCGCTTAAAAGCGGAGAAACTCCCACTTTACGGCCTTCTCGAAGCCTTGCAAAGAGTTGTTCTGGAGGAATCGCTTTGTCTACTCACGCTTACCCGTGCGTGTCCCTGCTGTCCTCTGTCTTGCTGCGTGTGGTCTGCTCCTCCTCCGCGTCGCTGCACCTGCTGCGGGTCTCGTGCTGTGGTCCGTGGGTCTTTGCCGCTCTCCTCCTTTGCGGGCTCTTTCTGCGGGTTCGCCGCTGCTCGTCTCGTCGCGGCCTGCTGCTGCATACGGCCGGTCTGGACTGGCGCGGTGGGAGCTGTGCGCATCCTTGCCTCCTCGTGCCGGTACGGTGTGGTCCTGTTGTGTTTTCCCTTGTCTTCTGGCGTTGTGGGTAAGTATGCTGACCTGCGGACGGTTTATTCCCCTCGCATTGTACTGCAGGCTCAGTTGGCCCTGCGCATTGGTGTGCAAGCTCTCAGTTTAAAGCCCTCGCATTGGTCTGCAGGCTCTCTTTAACCTCTCTTGGACTCCGGCTCTCTCTTTGAATCCCTCTCTTGGACTACAAGCTCTGTTTAAATCCCTCTTTGGACTGCGGCTCTAAGTTTAAATCCTTCACTCTGACTGCAAGCTCCGTTTTAATCCCTCACATTGGACTGCAAGCTCTCAGTTTTAATCCCTCACTTTGGACTGCAATCTCTCAGTTTAAATCCCTCACGTTGGGCTGCAGGCTCTCTTTAAATCCCTCTCTTGGACTACAAGCTCTGTTTAAATCCCTCTCTTTGGACTGCGGCTCTCTCTTTGAATCCCTCTCTTGGACTACAAGCTCTGTTTAAATCCCTCTTTGGACTGCGGCTCTCAATTTGAATCCCTCACATTGGACTGCAAGCTCTCAGTTTAATCCCTCACTTAGGACTGCAGGCTCTGTTGGAATCCCTCACACTGGACTGCAAGCTCTCAGTTTTAATCCCTCTCTTTGGACTACAAGCTCTCAGTATTAATCCCTCACTTTGGACTGCAGGCTCTGTTTAACTCATTCACACTGGACTGCAGGCTCTGAGTTTAAACCCCTCACTTGGACTGTAAACTCTGTTTAAATCCCTCACACTGGACTGCAAGCTCTCGGTTTTAATCCCTCACTCGGACTACAAGCTCTCAGTTGTAAATCCCTCATTTAGAACTGCAGGCAATGTGTGAATCCCTCACACTGGACTACAAGCTCTCAGTATTAATCCCTCACTTTGGACTACAAGTTGTTTAACTCCCTCACACTGGACTGCAGGCTCTCAGTTAAACACCTCACTTGGACTGCGGGCTCAGTTTTAATACCTCACATTGGACTGCAAGCTCTGTTTAGGTCCCTCGGTGTCTCGTGTCCCGCAACCTCTTCCCGGCTCTCCGTGAGCCCCAAGTCGTCACGCGGCTCGGGCGTGGGAGGTGTCCGTGGGCTACGTCATTGGCCCCTTCTCTCAGTCTCGCTCTAACCCGATTGGCATCGCCACCCGCAAGCACTCCAGGAAGAAGCATCTCATATTCGTCCTCTCCTGTCCCCGCTCCGGGAACAGCCCCTTCCCTTCAGCGCCCTTCTCCCTGCAGTCCGCTACCGTGGACCACGCGATCAGGCTGATAAAGACTTTCGGCCCCGGCTCCTGGCTCTCTAAGGCCGACATCCCGGACGCGTTCGAGCTGCTGACCATCCACCCCGACCACTGGCGCCTGTTCAGGGGTCAAGTGGCGTCAGAGTTCTTCTTCGCCGTGCGCCTCACCTTTGACTGCCGGAGTAGTCCCTCTCTGTTCAACAATCTCTCGGAGGCGCCGTGTCGGATTCTGCTTAATTACACGCGGCTCCCCTCTGTCCTGCATCTCCCCGATGCTCCCCTCGTAGTCAACCCACCCTCAGACTGCTCCGGGGGCTCTCTCCGCAAGCTCAAGCTCGCCTTCTCTGCCCTCGGATTCCTTCACTCCGAGGAGAAGACCACCGGCCCCGCCACCGCTTTGGAGTTCTCGGCATCCGCCTCGTCACGCGCGCCGTGGAGGCCTCCCTCCCGCCGGACAAGCTTGGGCGCATCCGCGCTTCTCCCGGTCTGCCTTGTCCTCTCCGTCACTTTCAAAGCGTCAGCTGCTCTCCCTCCTCGGGCACCTCAATGATGCTATCCGTATCATCCCTCAGGGTCGTTCTTTTATTTCCAGGCTCCTCTCCCTCGCTGGCTCCGTCCCCTCCCTCAATGATGCTGTCTGCCTGAACGCTGGGTGCCGCTCCGACCTGGCGTTCTGGTCCTGTCCGCTGAGCCGCTGGAACGGTGTATCTTTTTCTACAGCGACGTCATCCTGTCCTCAGATGCCCTGCGTTTCTTCACGGACGCAGCCCCGTCCGTGGGTTTTTGGGGTTTTTTCCAGGACCAGTGGTTCGCCGGGCCCTGGCCCGACTCTTTCCCTCGAAGCATCTCCTCCGCACTCCATGAAATATATCCCGTGACCGTAGCCTGCGTGCTGTGGAGCCATACGTGGCACA